CGAGTTCTGTGCTTGTGTGCCGTGTAGCATGGCTGCTTTGTTGGTGTTGCCTTCAAGCTGGGCTTCGCTGCACTGTTGCTGTGCTGCCCTTTCGCTTGACAATGTAGTGTCATTCGTGCAGTCCGTTTTCGGTGTCGTTCGTGCAGTCCGTTTTCTGTGTCGTTCGTGCAGTTGGGTTGCTCTGGCAACATTGCCTGGTGCTTCACTAAGCTCTTGCCTGCTGCTGTGTTCCGCTTGTGGACAGTTTTCTGTCAACAAGGGGTAAAGATTTCATGACCCAAACCATCGATACGGGGATTCCGCAGATGAGTCGGTGCAAATCCAATGAAAGAATCTTTCATCATCAGTTTTCTTAACTTTTTTTTTTTTTTTTTTTTGAATGTCCGGCAGTGCCCTTCCACCCCGTGTCGGTACGGGCGCTACTGGGGTCCCGGAGCTTTAGCAGGTGGCTCCAGTCTAGTGGTGGGGAGCAGCACGTGCTGGAAACCGGATCCAGCGGCCCCGATACCTCCATTCCAAAACAAATGGTGAAAACCGGGTCCAGCGGCCCTGTTATCTCCACTCTATCCGCCTTATACCCCCCCTACCTCGACTATTTCCTAGCCTCGCCTACTATTCCCCTCCTCGAGGGGTATCCTCTCCTCTCCTGCTTGACCGAAGATAGTATTTCCTGGCTGTGCTCAGCGCAGCACCCTCGCTCGACGTCCAGATTTTCTTCTCTTTTTTTTTTTCCTTTTTTTTTTTGTAAAAACACACGCCCCTTCTATTCTGGGGGGAAACAGTCCGGTTACATGTCCCAGGCAAAACCCGGACTGTTTCCCCCCAGAATAGAAGGGGCGTGTGTTTTTACAAAAAAAAAAAGGAAAAAAAAAAAGGAAAAAAAAAAAGAGAAGGGGCGTGTGTATACTGAAGGGGCGCGTGCCCCATCTATTCTCAGGTCCGCCGAAATAGATTGCACCTAAGCTTGTGTATACTGAAGCAGTTGGTGCAATCAGCGCACAACGTTTCGACGGTACAACTGCTTCAGTGCACACCCAGATGGGGCACGCGCCTGCATAGGGGCAACAGCCTACGGTCTTCACCCGAATAGAACGCCCGGTAATTATCGCTGCATCTGGACCGAAAGTTGTGCCAAATACAGCTATAATGACCGGGCGTTCTGTTCGGGTGAAGACGGTAGTAAGCAGCAATGTCCTTACGAGGCTGTGTGAAAAGGAAGAGATGACCAGGCTCTTAATGAATACTCATGGAAACTTATGCAGAACTTCAGCAGAAGTGTCCTTCTCAGAAAATACAGCGGCTCGGTCGGCCGAATCTATTCTCCGGTTAGTGACAGAAAGTGCTAGTGGAATCTATTCTCAGGTCAGCGACAGAACGTGTCAGAGGAATCTATTCTCAGGTGAGTGGAATCTATTCTGTGACGGAGCCGCCGGGATGGCAGTCCATCAAGATCAAGACGAAACGATGATGAGGATGAGGGAGATGGAGATGGAGATGGAAGGGACAGCGCAGCTCCAACGCAGACTCAACACGCACATACTCCCAACTGTGCAAATGAAAATGCTCCTGAAAACAGACTGCAGCTGGGGTATACCCCCCGCGGACTGACTGGACTGGCCTGGTACTGACAGTGGTACCGACAGTGGTACCGGGCAGGACTGGAACAGCACACGGGCTGTGGACATGCCTGATCCCACAGGTCGAACAGGCAAATAGCCCGGTAGGCCCTGGGTGTAGCCCAGGGCAGATAGAGGCCAGCTGCATATTCTCAGGTTAGGGACACTTCGCTTCGAGGGCGTTCTGTCGCTGACCTGATAATAGATGCCACTGAGTCTCACCTGAGAATAGATTCCTCCGACACGTTCTGTAGCTGACCTGATAATAGATTCCACTCACCTGAGAATGAGAATGAGAATGAGACTGGACTGGAACAGCACACGGCAAGCTGTGTACCAACAGTGGTTGTCAAGGTCCAAACTTAAAACCACCCTGCATTCCAAAAGCTCAGGTAGGACAGCCAAAGGGCCTGCATTCTCCAATGTCAGCGGCACTTGCTCCCCCCAGGAAAAATTCTTGGGTCCATAGCTGAAGCCTGATGCAGGAAATTGCCTGACTTATCTGCCTTTAAAAACCTGCAAACCAGGGCCCGGGCTGAATGCTGGGTTCTTGGAAGTTGGGACTCTTGCAGATAGATAGTACTAGTTGGACTCCAACCATTTTTGCCAGTGGGGTGGACTAAGTCTTCCGTCAATCATGACCTGTAACCTTTCACTGGCGTTCTGTAGATAAGGGTGATTACTCCTGAGATCACATTCGGAGATCCATCCACCCACGATCATGTGATTTTCTTTTGATATTCTTTTTTGTATAACAAAACCACTTCCATTCTATTGGCGGGGAGCTGAAGCTACTGGAAAGCAGGCCTGATCCTCACAATCATACCCTTCTCCATCCACCGTCTTTTGAGTGGCCCTGGACCTTCTGCAGCACAGAACGGAAGCCTTAGGGCCCTTATCGCTCACAATGTAAGGATTGTCGTACAGCACTTCTTTCTATCTCCATCTCCATCTCCCTCATCCTCATCCCTTCGTCTGGGTATCGTCCATAGTAGAAGGATCGATGTTGTTGTTGTTGTTGTTGTTGTTGTTGTTTTGTTTTTTTTAATGGTAATTTGGTCTAATGAATTTCCAAGCATTATACGGAAAGAATTAGATCTACTATCTCCAAAGGGCAGAAGGCCTTCTGCTAGCAAAGGATGGACAAACGAGGCAAGATCAGATATCCGACAGGCTGGACAGACACCACTCGTCGACCAGACATCGGATCCAATTTGATTGGACAGGCTCCACTCGTGGACCCGACATTCGATGGGTTGTGGACAGGCTCCCCACTAGCGTAAGACCCGAACACAACGCACCCTCATTTTCGCCGCACCGGGCCAGAAAAATAGCTTGTATACATTCATTATTGGGGTGGCACTGCGTTGTGTTCGGGGGAAGACAGTAGTGGGCCAGTGTAAATTTTCACCTAGTAACTGAATCCAAAAAGGCAAAATTTTCGAAATGCCCCTGAAGTTTGCGTTTATTTGCGATTCGCCCTTCGGACGACCGACTTACCCTGATTTGCCCTTGGGGCCTCTGAACTTTCGAAAAGGCCCCTGTCAGTGAGGGGCACAACTTTTCGGAATGCCCCTACCGGTAGGCCGGTCCCATTTCCCGTGGTGGCTGTCCATTTTGCCCTTCTGCATTGGATGTATCTTCCTGGGATGCCCTCCAGCGGGGAGGCCCTCAGAATTCGAATTCAAACTCCTTGATTTTCCGGGCCTCTGCGCAAAAAGACAGGGCTCCAC